TGTGTGTGTGTGTGTGTGTGTGTGTGTGTGTGCGCGCGCGCGCGCGCTTTGTATGTGTGTGTGTGGGGGTCTTCTTTGACAGCATCTTACGATGTTTCTTCCAGCCTAGACTGCTTCCCTCCTTTTGTCTTATCTCCTTGCTTACAGATAAAAACACCCAGAGATTCCTAAAGAACAGGCACCTTAACAGCCTCTTCACAATAGCCTAGGGCTTTGCCCTGAGAGAGTAGATATTAATATATCTTATGATACCCGAACAAGTCAATGCACTTTTGTGTACCACTGAGTGTTATTTTATTTGGGTATGCCACACCCACACCAGCATGTAAAGAAGTTCAGCCCTTCAGTCAATGGACTGGAGGCAGGAACAGTTTATAGCCATAGCAAAATAGAACAATGAAAAAAAACATAAAAGCTTTTTGTGTTCATATTCTCTCATCCAACCTTACTTCTCATGACAGGAATTTTTTCAAAGGTGTTTTATTAAAATTGAAACTCAGAATTTAGCTCACCCCCCTTAAGATTACTTAGAAGTTTAAATGCTAGGAGTTGATGTTTCACGATGTATGTAACAGAAAGCTAGCTCACATTTTAAATAAAGCCTCCACATATTTGTAGAGTACCAATTATAAAAATGTCCTAAAATTATTAGAAAAACTGGAGTAAGAGAATATTCTTGCACTGAATTTCAAAAATAATAGTCAAGTACATAAACTTAGCAGGTCCAATAAATATTTAGTTGAAAAAGATCAGTGAGCTTTCAATGAAGATAAACAGAGTACAAGCCCAAAGCTTGGATGTCATGAGAGTCAAACACCCTGGTGCCAGGGAGAGTGTCCCCAATAAAGGAGCACAGTGACTCTCAGAGCTTATTATTTTTGCCAATGACCAGCTCACATCTGAACATTAACAACACAAGCATGTCCATGGAAGGGGAAAAAAACAATAGAATCCCAGGATAGGTATGAATACAGCAACCACATTTTTTTTGTTTTTTTAATTTAATTTTTGAAATTACTACTCATATTTAGATATCCATTCCCCCATTCCCTCACCCACCCATCCTCCCATGTTCCCCACAAACCTCCCTCCAATTCCCCCCCAACTCCTCCCCAGGGATAGTGAGGCCCTCCACTAGGGAGCTTCACAGCAAACACATTTGTAATGACAGCATCAGGTTTCAGCTCCAATAATTTGGTCCCCTGATAGTTCAAGGTCTCAAGAAGAAACAGATGGAGAGACTGGTAGTTTTAGGACAGACTGATCAAGCCTTAGAAAGGTAAAGGAAATTAGTAATGTTATAGTGAATAGCCCTTTTCCAGACTGGACTTCCTGCCTCCCCAGAAGCGAGAGAAACAAAGGAAGCTTAATGAGTCCCCAAGCAGAAACTGCTGTTTACCTGTGGACAGTAAGTGGAGGGTGCAGTTCCCCACAGCCAGGAGGGGATTCAGATCCGAGTCCAGATGTCTGCTCACAATGTGGCCCCCTAAAGACTTTAAAAAGCAGGTTCTTTCACTCTGTTACATAGTTACAAAGTACAAGCCCTAAATAGGGAAAAAGTGATGCTCCACAGAGCTGTTCTGTTGTGTGTTTAAAGAACAGATAGGAGCTGTCAGTTACAGTCACCCCAATGCCAGAGCTGACTTGCCAAATACATACAGCCATGTTCCTGATCTGGGACCCGGCCAGAGTTCTCAGGTGCTTCAGGAGGGCACGGTATGTCTGTGTCTTCTCTTCTGGGAGTTTCTGGACCACAGCAACCAGAATGTCCTTCACCTGATCCAGGCTGAGGCCAGCACCGAGGGTCAGCCCTGAAATAAAGTCTTATGAGTATTGCTGTGTGGTCAATGACGGTCTAACACGGGAATCTTGATATTGGATCCATACTATTGTGCCTATGAGTAATGGTGGTGAGGATGGTGGTGACGGTGCTGACTGTGGTAGTGATGATGATGATCATGATGGAGATACCGGTGCTGATGGGAGTGGGTGTGGTGATGGCAGTCAGGGATGTGTGGGAGGGTTAATTAAGGTGGCATTGGTGGTAGGTCATAAAGGATAGATTTCATGAATACTGAGTTTATCCCATATTATGCTAGCTTTAAAAACTCCACATATTAAAACAATCCACAGGATATTAGTAGCCTCACTTCACAGATGGCAACACTGAGACTCAGTTCAGTCATGTCCCCAAGATCTCAGAGATCCTAGATCTCATCAGCAAGGATTGGGTTTGGGGAGCTTTGTCCTAAACCACACTACAATGACTGCGGCTTCTCACTGCCATTAAACCAAATCCCTTTGCAGGAATGAAAAAGGCTGCACTGCAGTTGCTTAATACCAGACTCTTCTCCTTCTGCTGTGCTACGGAGAGCAGCGAGCAGGCCTCCTTCATCTTCATCTTATGTTCTGCACACACGGCACAGATCCTCCTTGAATACTGAGTTCCCTGATACTGCAGATAGGAAAGTTTCCCAGTGACAACTGGACTTCTCAGACTGCATCTAGTGGAACTTGGAGAATTCTCCTTGGACTTCCTCCAGGTCCTCACCACTCTGCCTGAAGAGAATTTGAACTCTTACTAGAAATAGCTCTGCCCAGTCTGTCTGCTAGACTAAGATGTGACCTAATGAGTGCATTTCCAGGGAAACAAAGACCAGAAGAACTCACCATCACGGTCCTGGCTTATAACACACAGCTCTTCAATTCTGTCAGGAGAAATTATGATGGGGTGGAAGACACCTTTAAACTTTACTGCGGGACCTAAGGGATTGTGGGAGAGGCACAAGATTAGAATACAAGGATGTTAACTACTCTCCTAATTGGAATTATGATTAAACCCATGTCTTTGGGCATCTGAAAGTTGTTTCCTTTTATTGGGCTGTATTGCAAAACACAAGCAGAGACAGCAGCTGATTAAACTTTGCAACTTTTGGAAAATGGTAGCCCTAAAACTTGTGTGACATGGCACAATTAAATTTCACTTGGAGAAGGTCCTGGAGGCCAAGTAAAGAGACTATGTGGGGAAGGAGAAGGCTCTGAAACTGCCTTTCAAGTAAATCACATTATAGTCACAGTCACCACCCAGAGAGGAAAGACAGAGCAGTTTCATAATGAGAGCTCCTGTTGTCCCCACATGGAAAGCCAGAAGCTGGCAGCCTGCTGCTGACTTGCCATGGGGCTGCCCTCTACTTCAGTGAGGCACAGGCTAGTCCTGTTGTTGGCTTACCATGGGGCCACCCTCTGTCCAATAAGGTGGGCAGTTTCTAATGCTGGAACATCTCTTGAACAATACTGGGTTTTCTACCTTTCTACTGACAACAAACACACATGAAGCTTGTTTCCCTCATAAGATGTCCCAGGGTGTCTGCATACCCACAGAGGTGTTGCCCATGACAATGGGGGCCTGGGGATGCTTGAATTTAACTTCCACAAGTTCCTTCAAAGTCACTGGGGAAATCCATGTCATTCTATCACCACGAAACACTCTAGTCTTGAGTTGCTGTTTCTCAGCCATTATCTATTGAAAACAACAGGGATTTGAGAGAACTTGTGACCAAATTCCCATCTTTTCACTCTATTTTTATTGAAACAGAGAAAAGAAACACATATCTTCTAAAAACTAAATGTTGTGACCTGAAAGTAGAGCTTTACCAAGAGTCAGAGTTCAAGGATAAAGTCTGGCAGTAGTTTACACCTGGAAACTGAAGCTCCCATTGGCTCTCGAACACCTCACAGGAACTCATTTTGATGTTCACTAATATAGCAATCTGCTCATTTTGCCAAATCATTCTACAGAAACATGAACTTCAGCATAAGCAGAAGGGTAAAAAGTCTACTTTGAAAGGCATTGACTGACCTTTAACATACATCACCAGCTGTGTTTACATTCTCCAACCCTCATGGCAGCTCTACCCTCCCTTCTCCACCTCTTCCTTGGCCCACACTTTCTGGACTCTGAGGTGAGGATGACGGGTAAGTGTTGCCTATTTGCCCATCAGTTTGTCCTCTATAAAATTTTATTAGTTCTTTGAGAATTTTATATATGAACATAATATATATTTGTTATATTCCTTCCCCTAAATCCTCCAAGATTAACCTTCCATCCTCCCAACTTTATGTCCCCCTTTCTTCCCTCCATATTCCTTCCCTACTGAATACAATTTGTGCTCTCCATATACTCATGCAGATGAGGCCATCGCCTGGGTCATGGTCAGCCTACAAAGAGTCATAACCTCGATGAAAACTGACCCTCCTTCTCTAGCCGCCTTTCACTGTATCAGGTAAGGGTGGGGGTTCGCGTACTTCTCATCTCTGCATGCTAAATGTTGACGGGTTTGAGCTTGTGCAGGCCCTGAATTCATGAGTGCAGTGACCATGTCATGTCTAGACGACACTCTTTCCTCTCCCTTTTCTCAGTGGCCCCTATGTCTTGGGGGCTGTAATGTAGATGTCCCATTCATGCTGAGCTGAGTACCCCACAGGTAATTATTCTCTACTTGACAAGCTGAGAATATCTGCATTAACCACTGTCTGCTGCACATGACATGTCCCTGATAAGGTCTGACAGCCACACCATCAGCTTTTGAAAAGGTCCCTTCTGCCATTTGAACCTGAGCTCTTCTAGGTGAGCAATGGCCCTTCTTACCATCAGCTCTGGGGGAAATATCAGCTCCTGGGTTGGGTCCAGTGGCAGAAACTCCTCTTCTGAGTAGAGTTCTGGACTTGTCTTTAAAAAGAGAAAATGACAGAAGTTAACAGTAGTTCCCCCTATTCTCAGGGGACATATATGCCTGTTGGTAACCAAAACTACAGGCAGTTTTAACACACATTACATTTTCTTTATTCATTCTTAATGCAAAACTTAGCAACATAGTCTAGTACTAAACATACTTTTACCCTGAAAAAAAAAAAGAACCCTGTAACTAGTCATTGGCATATCTGAACTATAGCATCACTAAGCTTGTTCTTGGTGTCATTATTAAGTATAGCAATGGTATTTGAACATAGGTACTGTAATACTGTGCTAATCAATATTGTACCTGTGACACCTATTTAGTGACAGATAGTCAGGCAATGTATACATTATGGATACATTGGACAAAGGGATGGTTCACATTCCAGGAAAGACTGGGACGAGAATACTCAGAGTTCCTCATAGTATTCATAATGGCATGCATATTGAAACATAAATTATTTCTAGAATTTCCCACTTATATTTTCAAAGTATGGTTGAACACAAGTGACTCAGATGGCAGGAAGGTGAACTGTAGGTAATGGGTGACTACTATATTATTGTCAAGGACCTCTACATTAAATTATTTGTGGAAATAGACTGGAGGAAGATGGTCAAACTATCCAGGTAGGTTGCACATGCCTAAATTCACAGCACTTGGGATACAGGCAGGAATTCAAGGCCAGGCTTAGTTATATGATAAGTCTGTGGACAGAATGAGCTCCACAAGACCTCTTCCCACCCCCGGGCAGAAGGCAGACAGACATTCAGAAGACAAAAAGGGGCCAATCAGCCACAATACTAGCTGCCAGTCAAGGGTTCTAATGCAGACCTGACCTCTAATAACTCAAGGTGTCAGTGTGCCTCTACACTCATCAGATCCCTACACATTCCCTTAGAGTCTGGGGACAGGGGAAGAGACAGGCAGGAGCAACCGGACACAGAGAAATCAAGAGAGTTGGAGTTGCCACCTCTCTGTCTTTGTTCTTTCAACTCTGTCTCCACTTTGCAACTGGTCACTGAAAACATTGTTTAAAAATCGAGAGACCCAAGAGATCAATTCTCTCCTGCAGATAGTAGAGATTGGATAGGGCTGATGTGTGCAATGAGGGACAAAGTGGCTATGACAGACTTATAAAATACATTCTTTGCCTTCAATTGTTACATTAATTGCATCTATTTGTAGGACAGAGTGACACTGCAGTACACATACATGATAAGATCATGTCATTGTTTAGCATCTAGTATCTCAGACATGAGTTGTTTCTTTGTGTGGAAATTGTTAAAGATTCTATTAGTTATTCTGAAATAGTCAACTAATAATCAAACACAAACACAACACTGTGCTACAGAATGATTAGAAGCCATTCCTCTCACCCAGCTGTACCACAGTACCTGTTCACCCTACTTTCTCCACCTCAATTTCCTCCTGGGCTGAATTTGTGGAACACATAGAGACAGTGAGAATGGGAGAGAGAACATGTTGACAAAGTCAAAGTCATCAACTCGGACAGCCACTGATTCTTCCAAAGACTAGGTCAGCAGCTGCTCAGATCTTCAACAACTTCATAACAGCTTTGCCATTCACTGACCTCATCACCTTCCGGTAATTCTGCCAATCCATTTATTCCTTGATTTAAACAGCACGCCCCATTTTCTCTACTCTGACAGCACCCAGAAGCCTGATGGAGAAAAACAAAGAAAGCCCATCAGAATTCTATGGGGATTCTATTGTTAGCTGGATGCCTACATAGAAGCTGTAGAACCAATATTGTAAGGGTTGTAAAATAAATCTACTTATACTTCAACATATACAAGCTAATTCTAATGAAAGCAAATATACAAGAAATTCTAAATACCAGTGATTACTTAGTAAATCTTATAAAGGTCTTACTAGGTAATCCTATCATAGAGCAATAAACATTAACCAAATTAATTATTGATACTAAAAATATTTTAAATACCACTAATAGCAGTAAGAAGAATTGACACCTTGCTCTGATCTTATCTCTGAGGCATTGATTCCATAGTTTATCTTGCAGAGGTGATCCTCCAGTGGTGGGGGAGGACCCACCATGACTGAATATGCATTAAAATTCCACAGAGCATTTCCTTTATATAATAGTTTAAAAACAAAGAAAAAAATCAGTCTTCCATAGGCTTTTGTTAGTTCTATTAATATTAGTGATTGAGTATCTTACAATTAGATTATAGTAACCCTGTCCTGGGGATGGACAACCTCTGTTGTCAAATAGTCAGTCCATTAAACACATGGAATGGTTACAGGGACAACTAGACCATATTGTGACCAGTGTTACACTGTGTCACTCACAGACAGATCATGTTTGCAGAAGGCTATGGGCACTCAGTCAGGATCACTAACTTAGGCAAACAGGTCACGAGCAACTTCTTAGAAAGAATGACTTATGGCCGATGACAAACTGATGGATGCTCACAGTTTGACTACCCAGGCAAGGAGGGTCAGCCTCCTGCCCAAGACGAAATTTAACACAGGAATTGTAGACCTTGAGATGAGAAGTGATCCTGTATTAGTAAAAATGACCACTGCTATAAACACAATGAGCCACTCCTACACTGTTTTGTTTCATTGGGGGGGGGGACTGCCCTTGACCATGTACTCTTTTCTACTTACTTTACAGAAGGTCTTGCATGCATCAATTATGGGCCTGTATCCAGTGCAGCGACACAGATTTCCTGAAGAAGACAGAGCCAGTCTTGTTACTCAAGTGCCCCGGACAGAGGCATGAGGCACCAAGTGAATGACTGCTGAAAGACCCCATCTTAAAAGAAAACCCTTTGATGTCTTAACTCTGAAATCTTGTGTTTGAAATTTCATTTGTGCATCAGCATCTTGGGATAGTTAGTCAAGAGGCCTGCAGTATATTTTAAATCCTCAGCCATCTGTACTTATTCTCTGTAAACACATTTTATACCCTCCTCTTGAGACAGATGGTTAAATGACACAATTTTGAGACAAAACTTGTTCTGCAGTTACAATCGAGAGCTAAACTTAAAACAATAGCCACATTACTGAGACGCTACTGACATAAAGAACATGCATGTCTAATCAACTGTTTAGTGATTGATGTATCTGGAGATAGTGTGCACCAGAAGAGCCATCCCCAAAGTCATTACAGTGAGTGGATCTACCACTGTGTCCTTATGCCATTTATGTACTTGACCTTCAACCAGAAAGAAGGCATTTGACAGAAGACCTACCCTCTCAGCAACTGTTTAGATAGCTGTGGTAACCAAGTTGCATTTATTGGACTTGCTCATTGTGCATAACAAATTTTGTAACCTTTCATTGATAATTCCTCATTTTCTCCTTCTCCTACCTCAGGTAGTCATTATTAGATCACTATTTTATTCTCTGCTTCTAATTTACTATTCTTTGTACAATACGGTGTTTGCTCCTCTGGGTCTGGCTTGTTTCTCTTAGCATCGTGTGCTATGATCCATTCCTGTTGTTATAAGGAGGAAGGATTTTCTTCTTTTTTTTTTTTTAAAGGAAAGTTCCTCTCATTATTAATACTTACTGTGGCAGCTATCAGACTTTGACAGAGGCAAAGCAAAGTAAGAAGGAGAGACAGAGAGTGAAGTTTCAGCTGATTAAAGTTGTTCTGTAACAGTAAAGAAGGGTGGAAAATGGGTCCTTTCTGAACCTGGGAGGCAATCAGGCACACAAGTTATTAACAATAAATGGTTCGGCCAGTGTTTCTCTCACAATGGCTCTGTGTCCTTACTCCGTCCCCACTATGAGGTCATGTTTTATTTGTGTGTGTGGTCTATGTACACATCTGCTGGTGTGTGTACAAGTGTGTGTGAGTACATGTGGAGAGCACAGAGGTTGACACTGGCTGTCTTGTTCAATTGCTCTCCATGTACTTTTGAGACAGAGTCTCTCAGTGAATCTAGAACTCATCAGTTCTACTAAGTTGGCTGGAAAATGAGCTCTAGGGGTTCTCCTGTCCAGTGCAGTGGTTACACACCATCACTCCCAGATTTTTATGTGGGTGGCAGTGGTCAAAACTCAGGTCCTCATGCCAGACACTGACTGACCAAGCCAGTTTCCCCTGCTTCTGAGTTTATTTTAGAAACAGCACTAGAACAAGTTCTCTGGTGGCAGGTTTCCTCAAATCTTCATTATTCATACATTTTCTACAAATTTTTTGTTGTTGTTGTTTTTCAAGACTGTGTTTCTCTGTGTATCCCTGGCCATCCTGGAACTCATTTGTAGATCAGGCTGGCCTCAATTTCACAGAGACCCACAAGCCTCTGCTTCCAGAGTGCTAGAATTAAAAGTGTACACTACCACCCCCAGGTCCCACATGCCTTAAGCATCCTAAACAACCCTAAAGCAACAATGCAACCTCCAGGAAATCAGGCAGCAGCCAGTTTAGGTGCTAGGTCAGACCTCTCTGCCTGTGTTCACTCTGAATGCCCCTGAAACATTTTGTAGAGGAAGTAAACTTGCAAGCATTAGGCTCATGTTTCCTAAGCAGAGAAATAAGAGGTGGGAGACAAAGACAAATAGATCTGGGGAGCATTCACTAGGCAGACAGAGAATCTGAGAAGCTATTAAGGCTTAAAATATATTCAGAATCTTCTGGATGCACACACACACACACACACACACACACACACACACACACCACAAACGTGTGCACTCGTGCCAGAGAGGGACATCATTAAAATAAGCATCACTAGCACATTTCAGTCTGATTACAGCTGTACTCAGCAACACCCCTCTGACCAGTGCTCTGTGGTGGTGAGCACATCTGTCACAGGACATAGAAGCTGGTTTTGCTAAAGAATCTTTTGTTGACTCCAGCATTGGGCATACAGCAAATGAGAGAAACTAAACTTCACATGGCACTGCCACCTCTGATTTCATTTCCAAATGTCTCCACCTCACACTTTAGTGAGAGTTCAGGTTGACTCTGCATAGAGGTCTGAAATCCTTTAGACTATTCATCCAAAGCCAGTATTCCTTTCTTGTCAAGGCAGAGCACACACAGACAACTAAGGTGTTTTCAAGAATTACAGAGACAGTTACAAATGTCCTGTCCAGACCCCTTGGAGTGGTACCCAGAGGCCTTCTGTTACTGCTGTCCTATAACTCCCAAGAACAGCAGAGCCCTGCAGACAGATTATCCAGCATGAGCCTGCTCGATTAAGGAGCAACCATCTCCTGAGTCTGAATCCCGGGGTCACAGGCTTGACAGATAAACCTCCAGTGACACCATGGAGATAGATGATCCCTGAGCAACAGCAAATTCCTTGACAGCAACACCAAGGCACAGCTGTGCAGTCCCCTACCATTTGCTTTTTCACTCTGCCCTCTGTTTAAACCCAAGGCTCTCATGTCAGTGTCCCGAAGACAGGGTCATGAGACATTCAATCTCCCTTCTTTTCCCAGTATAATCCCACTGAAAATGTAATTCCTTTCCTCATCACTTTTCCAATGGATTTCCAGAATGAGGGCTGGAACCTGGTTTGCAGGGGTTCCCCAGAGTCAGGCTTCTTCCTAGGACTCCAGCAACATACTCAGCCAAAAGGAAACATGGTTAAAGTGCAGCATTCAGTCATGACATGTCTTTCCCAGGGTGTGTGAATAACCCAGCCTTCTGATGTTTGTGGAAAACAAATAAACAGTGTGGTAAGAAAGGAAGAGCCTCGAGAAACCCATCTGTCAAACACAATGTTTAGATCCAGTTTGCAGAATGACTGCAAGACACCAACGCTTCTACATAGAGGAGGGACAATTTCTAATACCCCTCCTCTAAATCTCCAATGCTCCATCTACGAAACAAGATGATAATGGTAAGTATTTTATAAATATATTTAAATGAATTTCAAAATAGCATTTAATTCAGCACGTGACATGGTAGGTATCCAGTTATTTCTGTCATCATGACTTAAAAATAAGAGATACTCACCACCAAGGGCGTCCGTTAACTGATCGAGCGTGGGCTCTGGGTGGTTCCTGAGCAGTGCATACATGGACATCACCATCCCAGGAGTACAGAATCCACACTGCGTGCCATGACACTTGGCGATCCTCTCCTGGAAGCACAAGGTTAGAAATGCAGACTCGGCACTCTCCTCCAGGTCAACAAAATCAGAGCAGCGTCCCCAGGACATTCTTGTGCTCACTGAACTTGGAGAGGAGGCCCCCAAAGCTCACATCGCAGGTGGCTTCCCTTCGGCTGGCCACTCTCTGACTGTTGAGCCCCATAAGCTTCTTGACTTGACTTCAGACAGTGGCTCAGAGGGTGAATGGCAGGTAGTTTTTCAGCCCCACCCCAGCAGCATGCCAGGTCACCAGAATTTTAGAATGTCAGGTGAGGTAACTGTGTGTCTTTTAAAGACCCCTCAGTATGCAGTGAGGGTGTGAACCACTGCAGTAGAGGAAGTCCTTGGAGGAAATGACCAGATTATATTTAAGTTGGAAATATCTGAAAAAAAAGCATGCTAGAGCACATACTTGGGCACGAACATGGGCATGCCCCTCTCCATGAGCATTTCCATCTTCCCACAGATGTGTTAATGCTCTAGCATGTAGGAGTTTTCAAGGCACTCGACCCAGGATCCAATGAAGAAATAAACATTGCCTTTATTTCCTCCATACTTTTTCCTTCCCCATCATTTTCACTTTGGGGTTTAAAGAGACAAGGACATTCTGGTGCTGTCTCCCAGAGCATTGCATGGAGCTGTCTCCCAGAGCATTGCATCAATGAAACTCACTGTGAGAGTAAAATCTAAAGGGTCCCTTTGCCTGCATGAAGTCAAGTCTCACAGGCTGTCCAGGCAGCATCCTCCTCCTTTAGCTTAATGGGGTTTGAGAACATTAAACCCAAGATTTTATCACATCTACAGAAGGTGGATTTAGGCTATTTCCTATGTGGCTCCTACCTCTTCCCTCTTGTGTCCACTCCACATACATGGCCCTCAATAACTGGGTCCAGACAAGGAGCAATGATACTTTTGGGGTGGGTGGTCATGTACACTGATGTAACTTGTCTAGGTCTGAGCAACAGCCCTCTGCAGGGCATCACTCTAAGAAAAGCTGCAGACCCACAGACAGAGTCTGTACTCTGTCAAGTCCAATCCAACACATCTTTTGGTATTGGAGGGGACTGATACTTTTAATTCAGGCTTTAAATCTAGTTATCTTTCACTTTCCAACAACAAACCAAAAACTGTATGCATCAATGCACATGGTGGTGTTTCTTTCTTATTTGGAAGACACAAGATGGAGAGGTCCCTCTGATTGGAACACAGAGGAAACAAAGCTGGCCGTGTCGGCATTTCCCAAAGAAAGGGGCCTCTTCTAGTCTTCCAAAACTGTCTTCCCAAGAAGTCAGTCACTCATATATCCCAGCATCCCAGCTTTAGTCTCAGCACCACTGCCTGTCATCTGCTCTCAGTGACCACGCAGCAGGGCCCAGACTTGCTACTCTTGAGTCTTTGGGACCCAGAGTCCCTTTGGGGGAGCAGTGCACCCTCACCTGAACAGGGTGAAGTCTGGTCGTGGTGCTGCCTATGCCTTCTACCGTGGTGACAGCTGTACCATACAGAGAGCAGATGGGGGTCAGACAGGCATTGACTGGATGATGCCTTTAGAATGCAAAAGAGAAGCACAGGTGACAAATTACATGACATCCAGTGGAAAGGGGACAGAGCACCCCTGGGCACCTCCCATAAGCAGGTCAGGAGTGATGTCCCAGGTTCTGAATCTGTGTTTCATTCTCAGAACAAACTCATTTTTCAGAACCAGATCTGAGGATCAGAGTGATTTATTCAGGGTCACAGCTGGAGTGCCAGTGGCAGAATTAAAATTAGACCTCATAATTCCAATTCTTGAAAGCATCAACCAACTTAATCATTTCCCTTTCAGACTGGGGCTGACACTCTCTAATTGCCTGAAGCTGCTTTCATCCTGCAGGTGCAGCTGGGCCAAGGCTGGTTGGGCAATGAAGTGAGTGTGGTGTGGCTTGCTCTTCAGAGGAAGAGCTAGTGTCAGGTGAAGAGCTATTCCACCCTCAGGACCACTGCCAAAAATGCCCAATTCCAACAACACCGAAAATGCTCTCCTTTCCTGACCACAACCACAGATGGGATCCACACAAGAGGCAAATGTTCACAGCCCATCATAATCAGCAAAGGTTTGAACTAAACATTGAGAAGCACCATTTAATCAAATAAAATTGCAAATGTTCTCAAATATTAGATTGTCTATTATTAATAAAGGCTTGGGGAAATGGGATTCTTACCACTCATGAATGTAAATACACTCTCAGAGTTCTTCTGGGAGACAGTGCATTTGGAAGACAAAAAATAACTTTAAAATGCACATGCTCTTTAATTCCTCATGCACACCTCTGTAGAATATCATAAGTAGATGGTCATGGATGTAAACATTATCTATTAGAAGGTTTATTGATAAAGCCTTAAAAAGAATCCCCTATTATGGGTTTGTTTTGCTGCTTCAAAATGATGTAACACACAAAGCCATTAAATTGAATTCATTACTTGAAAGGGATTCATTAAAATTTTTAAAAATTGCATGTTTAAGCAATATGTGAAATTTTCTTCCACATGATATGAACAAAAGACTGAAAAGCTATCTCTTAATTATAAGCAAACATAAATACTGGGTGACTAACTACATGCCAGGCAGAGCTGCAGGTGTTGGGATTCACCAGTGAACAGAGACAGATCTATCTCAGCAGAGTGTGTGTTCTAGTTGAGGAAGACAGACAAGTCTCCAGTGCACAGACTGTGAGAAGTGCCGTGAATAAATGAATGGGGAGAAGGGAATGAATGAATGGAGGGGACTGTGAATAAATGAATGGAGGTGAAGAGAATGAATGAATGAATGAATGAATGGAGGTGAAGAATATGAATGAATGGAGGGGACTGTGAATAAATGAATGGAGGTGAGGAGAATGAATGAATGAATGAATGAAGGTGAAGAATATAAATGAATGGAGGGAACTGTGAATAAATGAATGGAGGTGAAGAGAATGAATGAATGGAGGGAATCGTGAGTAAATGAATGGAGATGTGAATAAATGAATGGAGGTGAAGAGAATGAATGAATGAATGAATGAATGGAGGTGAAGAATATGAATGAATGGAGGGGACTGTGAATGAATGAATGCCGGGGAAGAGCATTGTCTGTGTGGGTAATCAGGGAGGAGCCAGCATAATAATGCTTCCTCTAAAATCTGTGTGATTTGAAGGAGTTCTGCATGAACGGCACAAGGACAGCATATGCTTGGGCCCTGAAGTGTGGAACTCAGATGTCTACAAAGAGAAGGAGACAGAGGAAAAGTCAGTGAGGATGAAGCACAGTGAAAGGGGGAGAACGAAGCTACCCAAGCGTGCGCCAGGCAGATTCCAGGGAGCAAGTGACAGGGCTTCCTAGTGAAGGTGAGTTTGAACACTGGGCTAAATTTGCCCAACCACAGAGTTTAGATGTAACAAACTGTAAGACTGTCTTGAATTAAAACAGAAATAAGCCAGAAAATCTATAAAAGCATATGTAATGATTCATTGCCTCAAAAGCTGTTGGCTGGCAATTGATGGCTGGAGGAAGGTGAGTCAGTTTTCTTAAGGGTGTGGCATGTGGAGGTCAGCCGAGGTCAGGTGGATGCCACACCCGTGAGTCCATGAGTTGTACAAACTGGACTCAGCGGGTTATAAAGAAAAAGACATGACTTGTGAGTGGGGTGCAGCAGAAGGAATTAGAGGGAGAAGGGGAGATACGATGAAAATAAATTCTATATATGTATGACATTCTTAAGAAATTAAAATGTTATATGTATGTATATTTAACATGTATATATTTAAACGTTTTATGTATATAAATGATATATACATACATATCATCTCATATAGAGCACATGAGAAGCATAAAAACACTACATTCTACTAAGTGTCAGTTCTTAATAAGAGAGAAGACACATGAACAGTTTGTTCTCATCCCTAAGATTCAGTTGTTGAGTTTCTGAAATGTAAGAAAATGAAGAGTCTGCCTTATGTTAGAGTAGACAGAAACCATAGTGACTGTCAGCAAACCATTAATGGTCACAAGTGGGATGGTATAATGGCTTCAAACCCAAAGCTGGAGTCTTCCCAGCAGTGTGCACTGGGTGCCTGGCAGCAGGGGAAGTGGCTCAAAGCAGAGGCAAGGAAGGAGCTGAAAGAGATTCCCCAGGCCCCGAACGAAGAAGCTCATGATGGGCAGAACTGAGAGAAAACGTTAAGCTTCCATTGAGTACACTGTCATCATTAGGGGCTAAGAATAAGGCAGCATGGTGACCAAAGATCTCCTGAAGCACAGACTGCAAGAGAGGAGCCCAAAGGCAACTTTCAGAATCCTAAAGAGCTGGCAGCCAGGCTGGGAAGCAGGGAGATTTCCCAGGGAATGCAGGCATGGCAGAGCCCTGGCTGCTGCTCAGATCCTAGGCCTCATCTGGAATAAGGGGAATGAGGAAAGTGGTTTAACAAATGCAGGAGTGGAGTCCCAGAAGAGGAGGGGAGAGAGGCCAGGACAGATAAATGTGTGAAACGATAATGCATGGAAGATAAATACAGGGTGTAAACAAAATAGGAAACCACTGGTGGTTTCAGGTAGGAGAGTGACGCCATCTAACTGTCTCTTGAAGCAGAGCTCTCAGACTTAGGGATGGAGAATGCATGCATGGGAGCTAGGAGATGTCACCCTCCTCAGTGCTTAGCATAGGTCTTTCCACACAGTAGTTTTCCAACACATTCACCACGTGAAGGAAGAAGATGAAGCTGAGAGCTGCAGAGTTCACGCAGAGCTGGGCTTTGCTGGGAGGTACCTGATCGTCTTGGTGCTGGGGTTGTATCGTGAGACCATCACTGTGCAGGCCCCACAGCCTCCCCCTCCGCAGCCATACTTTGTGCCTGTGAGTCGGACTGGAAGAAGCTCAGTTAAAGACAGCGTTTGCTACGGTTTTCTTTCTAGAACAGCCCTGACTTAGGACGCAGCACCATCACAGACACGCATAGGAAAGTTCAGTGTGGATTCTCCAGGGGCTGTTACTTAAGTCTTGTAGTTCCCTGCCTCCTTTGTGTGTTGCAGCTTGCGCCGCCCTCTGTATGAAGCTGGAACACAGCTGCCGAGAGGAGGGCCAGGCTGAAGAAGCGTGTGTGGATGGAAGTGTTGTGATATGTGCAGGTGGGGGTGGGCTCCATGTCTGCCCTCAGCATTATGGAGGCCTCTGATGGAATGTGCAAAATGTTACATTATAAATACTCTATGAACCGACTGTGTCACACTAGGAACACAGTAAGTCATTTGTCTGCATCTAGTCAGAGAAACCTCTGAATGCTCCCTCAAATCTCTTCTCTTACTATTAATTATTATTATTGTATATTGCTATTACTATTATTGTTATTAATGGTTTTTGAAATGGGGTTTCTCTGTGTAACAGCTCTGGCTGTCCTAGAACTCATAATGTAGGTAGGCTAGTCTTGAACTCACAGACATCTGCCTGTCTCTATGTCCCAAGTCCTGGGATAAAAGGAGTCAAAAGCATGCACTTTCCATTTTTCATTTACTCTTGGAAGACTTTGGTGTTTTCTTTCTCCCATGGCATAAACATCAGTCACTGAAGATAAGGTATGGATATTGTCTGTTAATTCTAGAGGATTCTTAATTAATGCTTTTCAACATCCTTCTCTTTAATCCCCTGCTTGTTTCTCCATTTTACACCACCCAATTCCTGCCAAAAAGAGGTTAAGAGAACACTAACACACTCATTCAAACACACACACTCACATACTGAAATATGCCACTCACACACTCAAACACACCACTCACACACTCAGACACACCACTCACACACTCAAACATACCACTCACACACTCAAACACATCACAAAGCTACACTTAAGTCTCACACATCCATACATTCATTACTTCAACGTACACCCCCCCAAAAAACAACCACACACACACACACACACACACACTCTCACATCACACAAACACACAAGGACAGTAATTCTCACACAATTCATCTACTGTCACACACACACACACACACACACACACGCATGCGCATATTCACATATACACAATCACAGACACTCTCACTAAAATGCTCTCTCACACACAAACCCACTCAGACACTCATGCATTTACATATGCTCATTCAGTCACACTCATGCATACACACTCATGGACCTGTATCCACACACCTAAAACTCTTGCATATTCCAACTCCCCTAAATTCTCACACACAAACACACTTGCAAACACTTTTGCACACATACTCAGGCTCACTAATACATTCTCAAACACACACACACACACACACACACACACACACACACACACACACACACACAGGGCTCATACACATACCTAACACATTATAGCATACAGTCATACTCATACACACTTACATGCATGCCCACTTTCATGCACTCAAACACACACTCTCCCACAGTCACACAACACAACACTCACAGACAAACACAACCATCTTACATCCCAAACACACACACAAAGACTTGCATTCATCCACACACTCACATTCCTCCCAAATTCACACACAAGAACATACAAATACACACCCAGACATGCTACAGACTCCCAGATATATGCACTCACATGTTCACACACATATGCTCTCAGACTCTCACAGGCTCATAGACTCAACACGCACAAACTCACAACCCACACCAAAGGATACGATTCTTCCTCAGGTACGGCAACAGCATCATTTCAGGATCGACATGTTGCTCTACCACCTGCTCAAGAGAAACATAGTTGCACACACAGGAACAACAGCTTGTGTTAGTGGAGACAGAAACAAACCACACCCCCAAATATCCAGATTAAAGCAGTGAACGCCTGTGCCCAGCTAGGAAAGACTGTGCAGCTAGGCACACTGAAGCACCTGGGCTGGCAGACAGTCTGGTTCAGGAACTGAAACAGGATGGAAGGTCATGGTTCCCTGGAATTCTACTTTCTCTACTTTGATTAAAATATTTAAAATTGATGTTTTAAGCAGGCATGTGCTACACAGACATATATGTAAGCAAAGCATCATACACATGAGATGAAATTTGAATTTAATGTTTTAAGTTAAAGCATCAAGTAGCATATTTGTGGCATTTTTACGTTGTTTCTATTCTCTCCTCCCCACTAAGGTCTCCCAGCTGGTCCCCTCTTCTGCTTTCATGTCCTATGGCATTCACAGAACAAACAGCAGCATGGCGTCTTCATATAGTCATAAACCCTAGCCATCTTTCTTCACGTTGCGTTACTCTGTCCCTCTGGGAAGGAAGGCAGAGAAGGCACACACCCAGTGCTGCCTCCTGCTGCAACTCTACTCAGGCCCTTGCAGGAAAAATCAAGCCGTTTTTGCAGAACATGCAATACAGAAGAATGTGTTGCACACACACACACACACACACACACACACACACACACACACACACACACACACACACACACGCACACACACACTCACGCCTCCGAGGGGATATGTTCGGCCCCCAGACAAACTTCATGGCAATTCATTTACTTTACTCTCTTCCTTCTTTTCTCACACCAACTCACAGTCTCACTCTGATAGGACATCCAAGGTTTGAAACCTGGGTTATTTCTAACTTTTTCTTTCTTTCCATCCACTGAAATCAGTGTCACCAAGTTCTGCTCCTTGAATGTCTGAAAATGATTCTCGGGTACACTGCCACCACCAACATGGAGCCTGCACAATTGTAACAGTTCTCTCTGCCCCCTGTGAGCCTGGCTTACAGGAGTGACAGCTCTAAAACCCCAGTCATATCATGCCCTGCACCTGCATGCCACTCGGGGAATTCCTGAACCAGCCAGACACATGTTAGGACCCTCTCTTCCACCCTGGAATCAGGATTTCTTGGAGAGTAACCAACATCAGTAAATTAATACCAGAGTCCTTGTGTTTGAAAACTTAAAACTCCAGGCACAGTCTCTTTGATAAACATCAAGCTGACTTGTACCACGTGAACTCAGACAGCACAAGGACTTTTAACTTTTACTACATTTGCATTCAGAGTTTCTCTCCTGTAGAACAAAAATCAAAAGCCAGAGGCCTGCTGCACAGGTCACCAGAGCACCCTGAAGGTCTTCCAGGAGTCATTACAAAGGCAGATCTGAGTCACAGAAGTCTGGCTTTTCATGGGAACCTTCTCTCCAGTGGCTTCTCATGCTTCTCTGAACATCCCTTCACTTGCTAACCAATGTTGAAACACATGCTTCACTAAAATTGGGAGGGGCAAAATGGGAAGGATTGGGAAGGCCAGGGACAAGGGCAGGGCCTGTCCTGCCTGGGCATCCAGAGGGAGCTCACCTTCCTGCCATTCACAAAGAAGATCAGCTGCTGCAGGGGATCCATGACTCCTGAGGTCCCTGAAGGTTCTGAGCAGCTCCAGCCCTGGGAGAGAATAAGTTGCCTGAGGCTGAGGGGAGTGGCTTGCACGAGCCTCAGGCCTCCACCCACCCAGAAAGCTCTGGAAGAGTCAGAAGAGTCAGTGCTGCCAATTCTTTTTTTTTTTTTTTTTTTTTCCCCCGAGACAGGGTTTCTCTTGGCTTTGGTGGCTGTCCTGGACTTAACAGGAAAACTTTCTTGACCCCTACTGAGTGTGCCAAGAGGGAGACACAATGAACTCTTTTGGCATCGATGCAAAGGGTTGCTTATCATAGCAGTGCTGCAGATCAGGTCCCCAATCATTGCTTTGTAACTGGTGCCAATGCTGGCTTATTGGGCATGGCTTCTGGTTGCTTTGAACCTCCCAGCTTGTTTAGGGGGAGGTCAGACTGCTGAGTCACATCCTGAGAGTCCAGTGCCCTTAACAACAAATAACTGTGTTTATTTACTTGGGAATACTTATCTACATGCTTGAGAAAGAAGGTAACTTTTTGGCTCTGTCTTTACATTATAAATCTTGGCAAATCTCAAATATGATCAAACTCATTTTCAGACTGTTTCACTTAGTATACCTTCCTAGATTATATTGTTCATGCAAACACATTGTCCCTTTACCCCCAAGACAGGGTTTCTCTGTGTAGCCTTGGCTGTCTGGGAACTCTTTGTAGATCAGGCTGGACTCGAACTCACAGATCTCTGCCTGCTTCTGCCTCCTGAGTGCTGGGCTACACAACATTTTCACTTTGAAAACTTGCAAAGTTTGTACATAGAAGGGTATTCCACATTTCCATAACTCCAGCAGGAGTTAACACCTCCTGGCTTCCTGGGTGTCTTCAGAAAATTTCAACACAGTGTTTTACCGCTAAATGCATCAGCAGACTCAAGGCATGCGTGTGTGCACTCTCCTTCCTTCTTCCTGCCTTCCTTCTCTCCTTGTTCCTTCCTTTTCTCCTTCCTGCTTTCCTTCCTTCCCTACTTCCTTCCCCCCCCCATCCCTTCCCTGTTTCCTTTCCTGTGGCAGAGTCTCACTATATAGCTATGGCTAGTTGGAAACTAATTGGTCTTGAACTGACAGACACCTATAAGCTTCAGACTCCTGAGCACTGGGTTTAAAGGTGTGCAGGCATGTGTCACCATACCTGGCATACATTTTTTTTTTTTAAAGAATACTGCTTGACAGGGGCTGGGGAGATGGCTCACAGGTGAAGAGCTTCCAGAAACCAGGCCTAGAACAAACCTGTCTTCCTTATAAACTGTCCAGTGTTGGGCATTCTGCCTCAACAATAGTGCAGAGTAAGAGTTAGAATTAATTGTACTATTTCCCTGACACCAACAATCTGGATTCTAAAATCTTAAAATACAGGAGGTGAAGAGCACTTGTTATTCTAACAGAGGACCAGGGTTCAATTCTCAACCCCCACAGTCATCCATAACTCCAGTTCTAGGTAATCTGATTTCCTTTTTCTCATGTCCCAGGCACACACACACACACACACACACACACACACACACACACACACTCACATGTACCTGCGCACACACAAAAAAAAATACAAAAAAAAAAAAAAAAACCCAAGCTATTTATTTCCATACATCTATTCAAAAACAAAAGTATCAATATTAAAGTACCAATAAAACTGTTGGGTGTTTAATTCTTTTTATCCCTGCAGCACATTCTGCTGAAGATGTAAACTGAATCTTCTCCAATGACAGTTTTCCCTTTCTCGGTCACCAACTTAGTGAAAAGATGCTTTCATTTCATGGGGACTTCAAACGACCTGCCATCCATTGGCAGCTGTTAGAGTTGTGGTAGTGGTATTAGGATGTCTTTCCTGCTCTTGTTTGTTAGTACAAACAATGGCACCCTGACATTTGTCTAAGAGAATTTTTGATAGTTTCCCAAAAGTGGGATTGCAGAAACAAATGATAGATGCATATGTAAAATTCCTGGATAATGTCAAAAAATCTTTCCTATGAGCAACGTGCAAGAACCAACTGTTGTAACAAAGGGAAGTGGCACCTCTCAGTGGTGGAACATGCCTTTAATCCCAGCACTCGGGGAGGCAGAGGCAGGTAGATCTCTGTGATTTCGAGGCCACCCTGGTCTACAAAGCTACACAGAGAAACCCTATCTCGAAAAAGCCAAAAAACCAAACAAAAACAAAAACAAAAAACAAAGGGAAGGGGCTGGATTAATAAAACCTAGATATCTGGGGAACCTCTGAGGGAGGTCACTGCCCAGTCTTTCTCAATAACTTAGGGGGCATTTCAGGGGCTAGACCTGAGAGGTATGAGGAGGGCTGCAAGGGAGGAGGGGTCTTGTGAGAAGGCAGGCTGTGGCCTCTCATGGAGGTGTACAACTCCAGACTGAACAGCAGGTGATTCTGGGAAGGCTGAAGCAAGCTGACAACCGGAACCAACTGATACCGTTGGGCAAAATGCGGTTATTAGGGTGACGTTGACAAATGTGTCAGTAATTAGGAAGGGGCAAGTGAAGTCCTTGGCCCTCTGTACTTTTCTCCTCTGGTGGCCCCATTGGAAGTGTTAAAACAGGTCAGCTAGCAAAGAACAGAAAATTTCAGTCTTGGTATCATACAGGCATGTGTCAAGTTAGAGTTGAGATGATGGCTGGCATGCATTAAAAAGTGGAGTTTGGTTTAAAGTGACTCAACTTGTAATTCTTCCTGCATTTGGAAGCCAGCAAAACAACACAAGGTTTCAGTATCACCAAATCTCTGGGTGTGTTCATCTTATCAGTGCACTGGAGAACAAATGGTCCTAGACCACTGTGCTATTAATGTTACTGAGAGTCCATACTTCCTACTCCAGCAGCATCTGCTGGCCCACACTAGCAGATCAGAGTCATCACACCTCTTCTGGGGAAACAGCAGGAGACCTGGGACTCACAGTTGGAGGTGTGTTTTGTTTTGTTTTTTAGATTTGTTTATTGTGTATACGCCTGTCCATATGCCTGCAGGCCAGAAGAGGGAACCAAGGCTCATTATAGATGGTTGTGGTTACATATAGATGGTTACCATGTGGTTACAGGGAATTGAACTGGCTCCTCTGGAAGAGCAACCTGTGCTTTTAAGCTCTGAGCCAACTCCCCAGGCTGCCTTGGAGGTTAATTCCATTCTTTCCGTGTCCCACTTCAGACACAGGTGTGTGGGTGATTTCTGGAGTCACTTTTGTGGTACTCCAGGTGCTCCTCCCCCTTGCCTTCTCAGTTCTTTAGACTACAGCAAACAGTAATTATGGATTTTATCTCTTGGTTGGTGCTAATCAAATTTCTATCAGTACCAAGCATCATTTGACAAAGTCAGTATCAACTGGGTTTTCAAAAACTCTCCAATATGACTCTCTATGCTGAGATGCGATCATAACATAGATTTTCTGGCCATGACACCACCACCTTCTTCAGGAGAGGCCTTCTCATAGAAATTAGGGACAAGACAAAGATGCTCTTTCCACCACTAGCAAACGTTTTAAGGAAAGTCATGTGACTAGATAAGAAAAGCTATGAATGGCTGGGAAATTATAATCAAGGAAAATAAAACTCTTCAGTTTCATTTGCTTTGACTTTCAAAATCATTAATTTTGGAGATCATTCGGGTTGAGTGAGTGATACTAGTGTAGCTGTACATGAATTGGCCTCATGTTTTAAAACTCTTATTTCTCCCTGTTCTCCAGCAAAAGATGCCTTTGTTAATGGTTAAATATTCCTAAGAGAAGATCGCGGGTTTACTAATAAGTAACTTTTTTTCTAGATAAGAGTCCATGTTATCTGACCTTCAGACAAGTCAAACTAAGGGCAAAGCGCTTTTCAGTCATGTTAATAGAAATGAAATAATGGTTAACTCTAATTGAACTGTTTACCTGGAAGCATTTGAATAGGAATCCTCCCCATAAGCTTATGTTTTTAATATTTGGCTCCCCAAAGCTGTGGGCACAAGTAGGATTTTTCTTCAAATTGTAAGAAACAAATTGCAATGTGCCTGAAAGTGGGCTAGAGACAGTTCAGTTCATGTTCTTTCAGAGAACCCAAGTGTAGTTCCAGCACCTATGTCATTCTTCTGGATTCCTCAGGCTCCTGCACTCACTCCTGCATACACCCACATAATTTTAATAAATCTAGATTTAAAAGAGAGAGAAGGCAGGACACTAAGTAAACCCATCCATCCTTCCTTATGGGGACTGAGGAGATGGCTCGCTCAGTGGTTAAGAGCATTTACTGCTCTTCCAGAGGACTCCAGCTTAGTTCCCACCACTCACATGGGCAGTTCATGATGGCCTGTAACTCAAGCTTCAGCGGCTCCCTCTCACCTACACAGGCAGCGTCCCCTCCATCCTCATGGCATTCACTCACATAGACAAATACACATGTATTAAAAGAATAAATAAAATTTAAATAAGATCTGGAAAAGTAGGATATTGGCTACTTTTCTGGTTGCAGGGACAAATACCTGATGGAGTAGCTTGAGTAACTTGAGTAAGGGTTTATCAGTTTGTGGTTTGAAGGGATCCAATCCAGAATGGTAGAGAATGCTCGGCAGCAGGAATGTGAGGTGACCGTTCCCATCTCACCTCTAGCCAGGAAGCAATGATTCATGCTGGTCCTGGGCTCAACTTCTCCTTTTCCTTCATATACGACCCATCTGTGAGCTGCGCCGCCCTTCCCACCTTCCTTAGTCTAGAAAGCCACTCACAACATCCCCAGAGCTCGTCTCCAATGTGATCCTAGATCCGGCAGAGATCATATTAACTGTCACAGCTACCACTGCCTGAGCCATAAGATTACATATAGCTGAAGTGATTTAAAAAAAAAAAAAGTGTTCATTCTAAAAGCAGAATGGCAACAGGCTAGGACAGAAGATGATTTTCAAACCCTCTTTGATCTTCATGTATACTAAAAGGCTCAAAAGCAAAAAAACAAGATATCCTGATATATGAGATAACCAATGCAAAAGTATTTATTTGTTTAAAAGGAAAATAGTTGAATGGTTAAATGATATTCTATAGAAATTTAAATTAATAAGTTATGAGGCAACC